TTAAAAAAATCTACCCAAAACATTATTAAATAATGAGATTTTGAAGATAACATTACCTATAAAAGCTTGACCTTTCATTAGTTGCACGAAGAGGCAGTAGAAACATCTCCAAAGCTGAGTTCTAAGTTCATTTTTAATGACAAGTGAAATAATGGATTCCTTAATCTCACTTAGGCCCTGTTTTAGCACTGCAAGTGGTTCAATAAATATGCTTAATCTGTCCTAAGTCACAAGTTTTAAAAGTACAGCACAGTGTATTCATTAAGAAAGTTTTCTTTTGACACTTCTTGTATCTTTGTAAAATATTTCTGAACAGATCTGTATAACTAGAATCTATTTTTTTTCAGATCTTTTTTGTTGAACCATATTATGCATTAATCTATCTGGCATGAACAACAGCACTGTTAACTTCTTTGCAGAGCAGTAAACAGTGATTTGTTGTTTTACCCACCTCAAAAGCATATGCGAAAGAAACAGTGATGTGAAATGTAGAAAAGTATGGTTAACAACTTAATAATCAGGATGTCAACATCCCATATCATAGAAATTGGATTGCACTATTACAATGTAGAATGTAACTACACAATTTAAGATAACTTCAGCATAATTTCTGACATTGTGAATTTTTCTCCATCAAAACAGAACTCCAACCATCCTTGTCAAGATTACATACAAACAAGTGTGTTGAAGCACGTCTACTTTTCCCTTGCCAGTAGATACCTGAATTATGGATTTTTGTCAGTTAGCATGCCCAATCTAGTCATGCATAATGTTTGTGTTAAGGTGTTGATTTGGGTTTGTAAAACCTAGCTCTGCATAAAATAATTCTAACTGTGGCCATGCTGAGATAGAGAAAAGCAACATGAAGTTATCTGTAGGCATAAATATGAGTTCTAATGAAAGACCATTTAGTACTAATAAAAAGAGTGACATTCTTTTTACTCTAACTTGAAACAAAGCTACTTAGTTACAAGAGAAAACACATCAATTATTGATGTATGAATATTCTTATTTTTAAAGTAGAATTATTTCCTATTCATTAGCATTTATCCAAAAGTCATTAATTTTAATATGCATTTGGGTGGTGGTATTTGAATTGTAAATAATTCTGCGTTCTCCACAATTTAACCACATTTTGCATATTCATGAAACAATTTAGTCGAAAGATGTAGCAGGGCATGCATCGCTTTGGGACATAGTCACATTAGGTAATTATGTGGTACTGTGCCGCCTATGGCATCACCTACTTCATTTAGCACCCAACAATGTGAAAGAACCCATGCACCAGTGTCTCATGTAATTGAGATGAAGAGACCCCAGTGAAAGCACTTAAAGAACATATTCAAGTTAATAAATTCACATATGTTAATATAATCTTTATGCAAAATAATCAATCATAGAGATACATAAGTAAAACCATGACCAGAAAACACTGAATATCTTCGTTTCAGTATTTTATTTTTCTCTGTGCTGAGATACTAATTTCTATATTCTACACAATTTATTTGTTGTGTAAATGATTAATATCTAGAATGGTAGGTGGATCTTTAAAAATATCTGACAATGAAATAAAAACATTACACGACTTAAAAATCGTATGAGGAAGAACGTGGAGGACAAATTGTTTCATGAACATATCACGTAGTATTGCAAAAGAGTTGCATTATGTCCAGATAAATGTAAAGAACAAGGCAACAGACATATTTAATGCTTCCAAAATTAATAACAGTTCTAAGTATGATGGTTAGACAAAGGAGAGTCAACTCAGAAGGAAGCAAGCTCTCATAAAAAAAGTCTGAAAAGTCAAAAACGTCTCATCAATGTTATGAAAAAGCACCCAAGTTTTGAGCTTCTAGTGGACTTGCAAGGCAAGTAAGCCATGTACAAGATGTAATGATACATCAGGAAGTGTTTTCCCATATCATCTAGATGATCCCCACAATGGCAAATGTGGCCAGCCAAGTAGAGCCCATCACTGATTAGGGCTCTTAATGTGTTAGTTAGCAACAATTTAGTACTGAGCACTATGGTCTTGCTAAATGTTATGATTATTTCCTAGCAATCCTCAATGTTCCTGTTTATTTCTATTGTCTAATCAAAGCTAAAATTTCAATAACAACCTGCAGTAAATTAAATGAAGATTTAAAAGTACTGTCTCTAAAAAAGGTCCATGACAATGCACAAAGTAACAAAAAATACAGAAATATTTCCTTTAGAACAGCATTTCTGTTTATTTCTTCACTCTAGACTTGGTTAATGTTACATGTTTTTTTATGATAATTTTGTTATGTTATAAGGGCTGCTCAGACAGTATGGCTCCTATTTTATTATGTTGGATGACAACATCAGAGGCAGATGTTAGTGATATGCCAGTAAAGGTTAAATTTTCCCTCCAAAAATCTGTTACATTTTGTTGTTCTGTGACAAACGTCAGCAGAGGAGTGGTGTGCTTAATTCATGTCTGACATGGAAATTCATATGAAGCAAAGGTCTGCCATTGAATTCCTCCATACAGAAAAAATGGATCCCACTAACATCTCTGATGCTTGTTGAACAGTTATGAAGACCAACCAGTGAAAGCAAGCACAGTGAAGGGGTGGGTGGTGTGTTTCAGCAGGGAGAACAAGAGTGGGTAAGCTGCTGTGAAGACCATGTTCAAAGCTTTGTTCCCATCTGTTACCTTTCTGTTTCTTCCCGTTTCTAGGGAATCAAGCATAACCTTCTTTCCTTGCTTTCAAAGCCCCTCACAGCTTTGTCATATTAGCACCTTTCACTCATTACTAACTCCTACTTCTGTTTATGCCTGATCCTGTGTCATATTTCAAGTAAGTACTTACAGGCAGTATTTCTCACATTTGGGAAACTGCATCTTGAGCAGTAAATGGGCTGACTACTTTTCAGCTTTCGAGGTTCTTTCTCCTCAATGCAAAGGCCAATAAAAATCCTGAGAAAATCTCTCTTGCTGAGATGGCAGTGAAGCTTCCGAATAAGTTTTATGTTCTCTTTGTCTCTCTTGTTCTGCATGTGCTCCTCAGTTAACATTTAGTCTGTGTTCTTTTTGGGTGAGGTCTGTGCAGTTTTTACACTTTGCCTATCTAAGAGAAGTGCTAGTCAGTGCTTCTGTGCACTATGATGACAGAAGAAGGTAATTGTAAGAGGGAAGTTAATGAGTAATCCATCTCAAATAAGAATTTAACATAATTTATAACCAATTTTCTGAAGTCTTGGAGATACACAGCTATTTGCACAAATCAACTGATTCCTGAATAACAATAAACAATATGAACATTCAGTTCACAGTCAGATTAATTCATTGTGTTTAATCCAAAATCAGTATTTTCAATCAGCCTCCCTTTTCCTCCTAATTTTTAATGTATAAATGGCGCATCAGTTAAAAAGCACAGATTCTAAACAAATAGATAAAAGTTGGATAAAACCAAGCAAATGTAGGATTATTTTTTAAAGTTTGATTGAGATTGAGACACCAAATCTTTGAGTGATGATTTTCTTTTAGTAGTACTGCCCATGATAAGGCTTTATGTATAAATTGAGAAATAATTAAATTTTTACCATTGTAGCCATAGAGGTCTGGTAATAACCAATAAAATACAAGACAGAGAAAGCCTAATTAAGTAAGATGCTAGATTTAAGTTTATGTTTTCCGAGGAGTAATTAGCAATACTAAAGTTAAGTAAATACTATAAAATTATTCCCAGGTGTATTTATTCACATTATTAGTGAATTTTGCTTTGAAGATGTATGTTTGCTTTCTGTTTGCTTTCTGTCTGTATTCATTTAATTGAGCTCTAGCATAAAAAATACTAATGAAAATGAGTTTAATGGTAATATTTACCTCAATAAAAAACAGTAAATATATCAATTGCAACCTAACAAAATAGCAATGAAACTAAAGAATGAAGTAAAAGCAATATAGATGGAAAAATGTAACTGAAAAATTTTAGAAATGTTAGTAAAAAGAAAAAGGTTTCATTATTATTTGTGAAATTCAGCAAATATTATAGAAATAATATCAGAATAAAAGAATACTATACAGAACTAAGAGCTATATATAAATAGTGCTATACTGAATTTTTTTTTAATAAAACACTGTCTATATATATAATAATTTAATGATTATTTTCCTCTAATCCCTAGAAACCTTTAGAAATACATTTTCTCAGACAGTAGAAACACAATTATTTTATGAACACATTCATTTTGTAGGAGCAAAGAGACAGAAACAGATTTATGTATATTATTTAAGTATATTATTTCACCAAAGAGAGAATGTAAACAAAATAATGGTATACAAGAAATATTCCCAACGTTGTTAAGTAGTTAAAGAAGCTCTTACTTTTTATCTGGTTGATGGAATTGTGGCTCAGAAATATACTATGAATGTGTGTATTTAATTAAAAACACTGTGTTTCTGTAGTATGTAAACACCATCATTACATATTTGCTGTGAGATGAATAGCAAACCTTTTAATGAGATCTTGGTTTTCTTTAAAGTGTACATGGTTTATCTCTAGCCCTTATTTTCATTCATACTCTCAGCAGTGGAGAATTCACACAAAGATCAGATTCAAATCTCCAAATGTATAATGGTATAGAAACAGCTCTACCCTAAAGATACATCTGTAATTCCGTAGTGTAAGGGCTTTGCTCCTCTACTGCACACTCCTCAAGTAAGCATTTCTGTTTCTAAGTTCTTTCTGAAAAATTCCTCACCTCTAACCTTGAAATTCAGTGCAAAGTAGTACAGCTTTTCTGTGTAAAAAAAAGACTGGATTTTTAATAAATATATATATATATATAAAGTAAATTTTAAAAAAATCGTTATATCTTCAGCAGTTTTCATTTGAAGCACTTACAGTTTATTAAGAATAAAATTACTATCAAAAGTCATATGTTTAAGACACTGATATATTAAGGAAAAATCAAATGCATCTTCTATACAAAAATCCACTTAACAGAAGTATTAGTATTACACGTTCTGCTTACAGATGCAATTTGCATAAAAGTATTTTACCTCCTCCTAGAATTCAGAGACAGTAGGAAGTCTGACTTACGTATTTGTAGAAAACTTATCTTAAATAATAATAATTTCAAAGAATTAACTTGTTGAAGAATGACAGCTTTCTGTTGCTACATTTGGTATTCAGCAAGCAGTCATTCAGTCACAGCTGCCAATGCTGACTGATAAATGTTCAAAAGAGCCTAGAAGAATATTGACAAACCCTCAACTTGTGTGTAGTATGGAGATAAGGATACCAAAATTATATTTACTTATGCTCCTAGTGTAGCATGAAGCTTCACAAAATAGTTAAGCTAGTTAGTTTTTTTCTACTTGTGTGTGGGTTGTTTTTTTTTTTTTTTTTTTTTTTTGTTTTTTAAATTTACTGCTATGTACTGTGAGTTTCAACTAGTGCTCAGTGATTCAGTGCTGGATAAAATTACTAATCTCCAAGAGGGTGGATGGAGACTGAAGAAAGAAAACAAACTACCAACAAGAGTTTTCCACCTCAAGAACCAATCCCCATCCTCTATTAAAAACAAAAAGGGGAGGGTGGTAAAAGAAATAACAAATGTGCAAGGACAAGATGAAGTATTTTCTCAGTAATTTCTATCTAGGGCTGATCAGCAGGAATTTAGATCCTGTTGTGTTTATCTAAAACATCCACATAGATTAAAAATTCTATTTTACTCTCTTGACATGTGGAAAAAAGAAAGTTAATGATTTCTTTAATAAATTATAGGAGCCTTTAAATTAAGGCCACATCAAGTTGTAATGAATTATTCCACAGTTTGTTGGACTTACAGTTTTAAACTTTTAAATTAGTGTGCGTGAGTTTTTCTCTTACCAGTTCCGTATTCTAATTTAAATGGAAATTGCACAAGAAGCTCTTCATCTAATTCATTTCTATGTATATATTTTGCCTCCTGGATATGGTTAAAGACAAAGACCTGCAGCAGAAATTGACAAACACTAAAGCCACATGTTACAAAGATTTATAGATAATCTTTTCATTTAATGTTCTTCAATGAACTTTTTAGTTCTCTGCCATTTAAAGAAGCAAGTATTATCACCTCCCCCCACCCCCCGCATTTGTCAATTCAGCAAAACAGAATTCACTTTTGTAGAACTTTAGAGTAAATACAACAAATTTCACAATCTATTGAAAAATAACATTTGGCTGTTGAAACGATGGGTCAAGAACTTGGGCCGTAAGGTTGTGACAGTCTAGAGGAGATCTAGAGAGTGCGTGTCAAATAGATTGACAGTGCTCTTTTTGGTGATGCCCAAAGAAAGGACAAGGACAATACTCTGAATATCTACCTATCCCTTTATTTTAAGCTAGTAAAAATAAATGCAAATTATACAAGAATGAGAAACTGGCCAAGTTTAACGCTATTTAATTGCTTTCCAGATACTTCTCTTTGCATACATATAGTTTATTCTTGATATTTTGAAAAGTATTTCAAAGCATTGGTTCATATATTATTTAGTACTATAGCTCAGGAATACATCAACGTATATTCAATACACTTAGATGGGTTTTATCTTCATGATTCTTTTAATTTCAATGCAGGTAGTTAAGCTGATTGTGCTGATGCTTTGTCTGACAGATATTCTTCAATTCTGTTCCAGATTTCTCAAAGAGTGGAGAAAAGTAAATAGGAGACTACATTATTTCACTACAGTTAGTAAGCAGAAGCTTGTGTTCCTACAACAACGAACAATTACTGAAGGCAGATTGCTTTTTTATTGTTCCAAAAATCTGGCACTTGAGTACCCTTTTTCTACAAACAGTCTTCAAGTTTAGAAAACTATGTCAGACAATGTTAGCTGAAATGATAAAAAGCTCAGAAATTGTTGGCACCATCTGTTACCCCAAAAGATCTAATGTCACAGACAGAGTAAGCACACTGACTTGCCAAAATGCACATAACTCAAAATGGTAAATCCTATGGCTTTCTGATCAGTTTGAAGGCTCATGCTGCTGTTCACAAGTGAACTGTGCCTGCTTTAAGCTAAGGAGCTGTTAGATGGAATCATCTTTTTTTCTTTTTTTTTTTTTTTTTTTTTAATTGGATGCTTACAATTGGACTTTTATTACTTGGAGGTACCTGCTTCCTTCAACTGGACCTTCCTGAAACTATATACTGCTGTAAATTATAACTATGTGAAAAGTTTAAAAAAAAATGTACAAGCTTAATACATTTAAGATGCTAGTGAATTTAAACGTGCAATTAAAGACAATATAGTCCAGCACAATAACTGAATAAAAGTGCTGTTTCTCATTTTATCCAGAAATGAAGATATGTAGACCTTTGCTGCATAAAAAACACATGGGCTGGCCTATAATTAATTATCTCTGGAGCTTAAAGTGGCCTGGTAGAAAATATATGTGAATATGTATATATATATATATAACATATGGATTATTCTGCAGAGCTAAGTAACCCCTCAAATTTGTCCACTGTCATTTTTGTATTTATACCCGCTTCGTAACTATAACATTTTCAAAGCCTGGAATTAAAAAACAAAAGAAAAACAAACATAATATGGAAACGTAGAGGGATAAATTCTGAACAATCTCCCTCTTGTTCTTCCTCTTCCCTCCCTTGGGAATGATCCCCACCAGCTCTTTGAGTTCATTTCAGTAGTTCTTTCTATTCAGAACCTCTAGACTGAATGCCTTAATCAATCTCCTGCCAATATGGATTTCTCCTCTGTACAGAAATACAACTAAGAAGTCCTGGAACTAACAAAAAAAAAAAGCTAATAAAGGGAGAGAAAATTTCACAAAAAGGATAGAATAAGACTGCCATGCTTGCTTGCTCACCACCATCTGACAGATTTTCTTAATTTCTTACATATAATCCATAAATAACTGAATTATTTGACTAGATTAGAATAAATAATTAAGACTTAGAGTCAGCATAACTAGCAATCATAATCTGGAAACAAAATCACAGATCACAGAATGGCCAGGGTTGAAAGGGACCTCGAGGATCATGAATCTCCAAACCCCCTGCCACATGCAGGGCCACCAATCTCCCCATGTAATACCAGACCAGGCTGCCCAGAGTGCCATCCAATCTGGCCTTGAACACCTCCAGGGACAGGGCATCCACAGCCTCTCTGGGCAGCCTGTTCCAGCACCTCACCACTCTCTCTGTAAAGAACTTCCCCCTGACATCCAACCTTAATCTTCCCTCCCTCAATTTAAAACCATTTCCCTTTGTCCTGCTGTTATCTGCCCTTTCAAAGAGTTTACTCCCCTCCTGTTTGTAGGCTCCCTTTAGGTACCGGAAGGCTGCAGTGAGGTCACCCCGCAGCCATCTTTTCTTTTTTATCACAGTATGATAGATAAGTGTATCTACCAAGTGCTCAGAAATACATACATGCAAATATGTATGTTCTCTAATACCTAATTATTATCATAATGATCTATAATAAAATATTCATATTGCATTCCAAAGTAAGAACCATCATGCATCAAAATGCAGAAGTATTCAAAATGACTTTTAATTATTCAGCTTGGTCCTAACCAGCACATATTAATTTTTCAGTCTACTCTTTCTTGAAGTAGTAAAGTACATGCTTGTATTACCCAAAACTATTTCAGTAGTTATGAAAGTTAATCTTATTATAAATGGGCAAAATGGATGACAGTAGGAGTGAAAATAATTTCAGAAGCCAGCAAATCATTGCAGTTCTCAAGAAAGTAAATCTTGCCAAGAAAAAAGACTTATACACTCGAACAGCCCAACGGGGGAGTAAGTACTATGTTAAAAGCACATAATTTTCTTATAAATCCATCAATCTCCAGCAGATTTATATAATGAATTACATGACATAAACATCAGGGTGGAGGCCTGACTACAGTTTGTGCTCTGTTGATCTCCAAAGGTTCAGATGTTGCTTATGGTTCAATGAAGCATCTAAAAGAAATAATGCCTAATAAAAGCTTTTGTGAATTATGATAGCAGTTTGAGAGTGCCTGAGTTTATTCTTCCTTTCCAATAAGCTTTGTATTGTTAATTTCTCCAAATGAACGTTTTTTCCTAAATTAGCCATTCTTCATCTCTCTGCATAATGCAACTGCAGCTTTTTTAAACATATTTTTTCTAAACAAGGAAGCCCAACCAAAATCCTACTGTTTTTATTTAGACACAAGGCAAAGTCAAGAAAGCCTGTACAGATTCACGACAAGGATGAACATGGTCAGTTTGTCTAAAACGAGTATGATGTAACAGCTGTATATCTTCATTTTGCCATTGCATTTCATGTAAAAAAAAAAAAAAAAATGACAGCCAGCAACTGAAGAACAGTTATCACCTGTTTATTCATCAGAGAGTGTCAAATTGAGCCATGTTTACTTGGATAAATCCAAGTTTAGCCCAGCCTGTCAGCGTACGATGAGTATATTTCTCATTGCATTCTTCCTTTGCAAAGCAGAGAGGATAGATTTCAGACTGATAAATGAAATTTTCACTGTTTTCCGGTAGAAATTCACTAAGAAAATCATCCTGGATTCTTTACGAGGAAAGAGTAGAGATCTGCAGAACAATAGACACACGTCACTATTAGCTAAGCTTTATATGTCTGTATTTGAAATAGAGAAATTGAGAAAATGGCATTACAAGCCATGCTTTGCTTTGTATATTGGACAACATTTATTATTTCCATTCTGGAAATACTGTTTTGGGTAGAGTTATTTGTTGGCAAAGGCTCTCTCTGCAAATGGATTGATTTGTGAAGTCTCTTTGCCTCATGATTTTGGATAATTCAAAAGCAAAATGTGGTATGGACAACGGTACTTTACCAAAATATGAAACATAATGGACAATAATGACAATGGAAACAAAAGTTAAAAGGCATCTCCAAATAAATCTAGCAATTCATCAGTCTTGGAATCTTATCTCATATTTCCTATTTCATCCCACTCCAAAGGATTGGTACAAAATAAATGCTGTTGTAAATTACAGAAATTAAAAGAATATATTTACACTTTTAGTGAAATATTACCTGTTTGTTAGACAAAATGTTACCTGCTCTCTCCGGCTCATCTTTGTGATTATAGAGCCTAAAATGCAAAAGATTTACCTGCTGCATCAGGGGAGATCAAAGCCAACATTTTTGTTCCTATCCTTGACTCTGAAATAGAGGTATAGGTAAGACATTCAGCTGGGGGCACATATCTGTCTTCATCTGCCTAGAAGAATCATTTGTTAGTAAACTTTTTAAACTGATATTGCAATTATAACTTGAAAAGTTATGCCAAACTTAGAACTTAAGTAATTGTTGTTGTAAAATATAATTATGTATGTGAAGGATGTAAAAAAGATCTATTATACAGAAAAAGAAAGGAAAAAAACACAACCAGTACAGCTAAAATTTTGTAACATATTTTGTAAATATTAAGATAAAATTTTTCACGTAAGAGATACGGAGAATTTTCTCTTAGGACAGAAAAACTTTGCAAGAGGGAGATACTATAGGAAAAACAATAATTGTATTATCTTCTTATGCATAGGCTTTATGCTGAACTGCGAAATGAATCGTTTTATCCATGTACTTGAGCTGCATTCACCAAACATCTGACACTGAATGCTTATACACTGAATAATTACACTTAACTAACTTAACAGAGGAGAGACATTCATACAAGAATTAATTATTTAATGTTTGTATTCACCTTGAAAATGTAAAGCATTTCTCCTTTACAGTTGCTAGTTACTCCAGGCACTTAGAAGATTTCCTTCAGAAAAGATGTGGGTGTGAGAAGGAAAGCAACAAAATGAAATAAATTATTCAGCAAATGTGATAGCAATACAATTATTTTACTATTTGTGGTTATTCTGTAGGCAGTTTTATGCTTATTTTAGAATTTAAAAACAAGTGCAGCTACAGCATTAAGAACTATGAATTTAATTTTTACAGCATTAAGAACTCCATTTAGTTAAAAAGTGTGGCACTAAGTTCTGTCATGTAAAATTTGATCCCAGCACCAAAAGCCTTCCTCCCACCTTCAAACAATCAGATCGAATATAAGGAAAGGAAAGAGAGAAAAAGAGCAACACATAACCTGCACAAGAAAAACTTAACAAAGAAACATATTTCAGAATACTGAAGTTTCCTTCAGAGACTGTCTTCCTATTTTATTCCTTTAGATGAATATAGGTTTCTTTGTACAATACTGAATCTTGAAATAGTAATGTCTTTTTAATAATGGGAGATGTAAAGGCTTGATTTAGTCAGTCTATGCATTTTTGTCATCTTTTTATTAATGTGAAATCATATATGACTTGACTATATGCTGCTGCCTACTCTTTAAAATTTGTATTGACATGAAAGGTTCTATGTAAATACCTTATCAGAATACACACTGTTTAATCGGGGCATGCTATGTCACTGTAGCTGCTTTATTGAGATGTCTCTCAGGAAACGGATTTAGCCTACTGATAGCAAATGGTAATATGGTAATAACCATTGCTTAATCAGGACAGTAATTAGCATCAGTTCTGTTTAATTGAACTGAATTTAACTGGAGTCAAGAAGTAAAGTACTGATTAACCTCCAAACTATTGATCAGTGCTCACTAATTCTCCAAAGGCAGAGAATAATTACATCAATAAATGACATAAATGTCTAATTTTACAAATCAAACAGTATCTGGAAATACAGCACAGCATAAATAGTGTGCCTGCATGGAAAAAAAATCATTCTGAATACATTATCTCTGTAGTCATGGTTCCTTTTAAAATTTAAATTGCACATAGTTGATGGTGTTTAGCTGTTTATGGCTATCTACAGTGACTTTTTTTCAGTACCTGTATACCAGCTGTCACTCGGTTCCACTGCAAATTTGAGTGATTGCTGAACTGCAGAATTCTGACATAGATTTTACTATCTATGAGAGTAAGAGAGTAATGATACACAGGGGCAGAAAACTTCTTGACACCTGGTCTCTTACTGTTCACAGCCTGATACTTGTAGAATTATGCCAGGGACACAGGGCTTCATTTGCTTTTCACAACTTTTTATGGCATTATATTCATGTCTCAAAATGTTGCAGATTTTCCCAAGAGCAGCAGTCGTGTGTTACAACTCTCATAATGATTAGCACCCGGGTGATTGTGTCATTCACTGTTTGATTCAAAGAGCTCAGAAAACTTCATCTTTTTATGCTCAGTTGCAGTCTTTTGTACTTTCACATACCTTTAGACTTGAGTATTATGATTCTGTTGCTCTTTTACTGAAATTCCTGTGCAGTGATTTCCAGTCAGTATTACCGATCAAGAAATAATGGGTATTTTTTTCCCCATGTAATAATGATAACATTCTTTTGAATTTCTGTCTGTGCCTTTCTGAGTTTTTCTTCTTTGTAACAGATAAAGAGGGTCACTGGAATTGACAACCTTGTCTTATACCTATCCTCAAGTTAAACCAATTACTTTGCTCATGTTTTTTTCATGAGAGAGAATTTCTACTAGGACTTTACATCAATTTTATGATGTTTTCAGCAACTCCATCCTGCTGCAGTTTTCAAAAATCCAATATAATATCAAATCTGTAAGTACAATCCATGACAATTCAACTTGCTTTCCTCTTGTATTCCAGTGTTTTACACACAGGATATAGAAATAGTGTTCTTATGGAGACTACACTAAAATTCTGCAGCAATTTTCCAAATAAACTAAATCCACCATTATAGAATTTTTTCTAGATAGAATGCATTAATTCATGGTGACTACCTTTGTCACATTTTTTCATTGTCTGTTTATATTTCATGTAAGCTTGTCAGGAACTTAATCATTCTGTATTCCATAGTATATTGTCCATTGACTCAGCTACTAGAAGATTCTTCTCACAAGTGTACCTTCTCACACACCACATGCATATGAACATTCTCCTTAAATTCCAGTACAGTGACTTTTATCACACTGTATATACAGGGCTGCTCTGAAAGTAATGCTTCCTATTTTATTATGTTGGCTTACAATGTCAGAGGCAGATGTTGGTGGTATAGCAGTAGAAGTGGAACCTTCCCAACAATATTTCATTACATTTTGTTGCTATGTGGCAGATGGCAGCAGAGGAGGCACTCTGACAAATTGGCATCTGACATAGAAGTTCATACAAAGCAAAGTTCTGCCACTGCATTCCTCCATGCAGAAAAAATTTCACCCATTGGCATTTTTGACCCTTTCTGAACATTTCTGCAGACAGAATGTGGATATGAGCACAGTGAAGCAGTGGGTGGTGTGTTTCAGCAGCTGCGATAGCAACAGTGGGTCACCTCTGATTTTTATGAGCGCAGAATGCAGGTTCTTGTTCATAATGGAGGAAATGCATAGCTAATGATAGTGACAATGTTGAAAAGAAGAGTTTTTTAGCTGAGAATTTTGTCTGTCAAACAGTATTATTTTTCTCTTTGTGTCTGTTGTAATTTCCACATAAATAAATAAGAGGGATTACTTTTGGAGAGATCTATGTAAACCTATTTAAGAATCTATATATTTAAATGTTATATTGTTGGATATAAAATAATGCAAGAATGAGCGCAAAAATTCTGGCTAATTTTCTCAAAAATTGTTTAGGTTCTTAGTATTGCAAGTATGTAGGTCACTCTGAAAGGAGCAGCCCTTGTACCTCAAAATGTCTGGTGGACCTTTCAGGTATATGCACTGTAATGCTTGCCTTCAATGTCTTTGCCACCAAAGCTGGCTAAGAAGATCGAGCAAATACTAGATGTACTATTTTGGAATTTTTTTAATGAGAGTTCTTCAGAAACAGCGGAGGCAATAAACCAAATTATTCAACTGCTTAGCATTGGCTATTTTTTTTTACTACAATGGCTAACCTACCAATACTGAGCTAAAGTTATTTAGAATGGAAATGTCTGCTGATAAACACTGATATGTCTATTATCTTCCTGGCTTTCGGGTGAAGGCACAGACATTTCTCTAGTAGCCCAAACTATTCTGGGAATCCACTTTCTTTTGCATTTCATTCTGTTTGATTTTCAGGGAATGTGTAAGAGAATCAAAGCATTTCCTTGAAGAGAGAACAAAATTGACTTTAAATCAAAAACATAATGGTAACTCTAGTTTATCATACTCTCTTCTTGAGTAACTGTCATTGTACTCTCACATACACTTTGGCAAAGCAAATGTGCTTTACCACACTTCCCAGCATGAGTGATATGTAGTTAATCACTTCCACTATATGAAAATCCTATTCATCAGCAGAGGATACTGCAGACCCAGTAAAATTAGCATGGAACCTACTAAATCATTCCACAATGTCCTGGTTCAAATTATCTGTATAAAATAACTTTCCCTGAGTTAAAACATCAATAAACAAGCTACATTGAAAAATAAGTTTCACTGTGGATGAATATGGCCAAAATACTTGTAAAAATAATTTCAGTGTTCTGTTTTACCCTATTTAATTATTTGTGCCAGTCTTAACTGTAATCAATTTCCCAATTACTGAACCAATTGCTATTTCTAACACACACTACAAAACCTTATAGAATGTTGCAAAGAAAAATGTACAGAAATAATTAGTACTAGACTCTGCTAGAATAGGCTGTGATCAGTCTCTGTAGACAGAGTGGGTGACATGCAATCATCTGCAAAAATGATTTGCCAAAAATTCCAGAGATGAATGCATTCAAATTCAGTGTGCTTTTCGTCCTATTAAAAGTATGATAAGAACTCTAAGCACATTTTCCTCATTTTGGTCTTTTAAAGTTTAGTTTCTTTCCTTTCATTTGCTCCACAGATATTGCTATTTTCCATTAGTATGATTTCTTTCTCACTTACTTTCCTTTTTCTTTCTGTTTTGTTTATGATCTATTCCATCAGGTAAGTTTACTATTCAATCAAGATACTATTTGCTGTTCATTCTTTGTATGAAATACCCTCCCTCCACTAATTGCTTTACTCATTTATGTTTCTCACTTCTTTATGTTTTTGAGTCAGAAATCTTTTGTGATTCTCAGACAGTTCAAGAATTAGGAACAAAAATATGTATATATAGGAAAGGCGTTCAAACGAATTTCTTTTTGAATTTATTCTGGTATTAAATGAAACTTTTAGCTTGAAATAAACTTTTAGTTTGCATAGGTTTTGACCGTCTGTACAAAATATTTGTCTTCTGCAGAATATGGCATTTGTATCTGAAAAACTGACTGTTAACTTATTTTCGTTAATAATTCTTAAGCAGAGTTCACCACGTTAGTGCCCATGGATGGAAATTTAGAATTAGTGGTACTCAGGCAAAAGAAAGATATTTCTCAGTATTCAGAGCGTCAAGAGATATATTTCTGAAAAATTCTTCTTATAGATTGCAAATTCTTGTAAACATCTGGGTTTTCAATAACTTTTTATTTACATATTTGAAGTTTGTCTAAGGGTGTAAATTCCAATTCTGTCAAATATGAAAGTCAGGCTTTGTGATTACACAAAGGTGGATAAACAGTTAAGCTCACCAAGAGCAGCAACAATCACCCAAATTACACCCACACATCCCTTTGATTTTTGAATACTGGATTTAAAAAAAAGCTCTAGCAACAGTAGAAGAAACTGTCACTAGTTTTGACAGTGTGCTTATCCACTGAAAACTATATACAAAATATAACCCTAAATTTCAGTATTTAAGAATCTATATTGACCATATAGTATATCACCGCAAATATTTTTATCTGATTTTTATTTTTCAGACATGAATTAAAAAATAATGAATATGCTT